ACCTCTCCTAGGTCTTATCAACATCCCCAGTGGGACTTAAATCATGACATTGCAGCGTGTGATCTAGACACGTTAACTACTACTCCACCCCGCTGCGAGTGGCCTTGGGTCACGGGGCAGATATGAATCTCAAGGAAAGGCAGGCATTCCTTATTTCACATTCTGTGGAGGTATTTTTGATGAAGCAGAGGTTTATTTGCTACTTTAATCGACTGCATTACTTGGCTTTCGTTTATAAGTAGTCTAGGCGTGGTCTAAACTGAATCCCTATCTGGACGAGAATAACTTTTAGAAGAGCAATGTTATGTGAAGTTCAATTAAAAATTATCGTCCACACACATCATTGTGGGAAAATCCAACTGTCAGTTGTAGTCCTCTTATTGCCCTCAATGAAATAGGTTGAATGCATTGCATATGTATGATCTACTGGTAGTCTCGAAAACTTATTTAATTACGAAAAACAGCAAGTTAAGTCGGACAACCTTAGAGGATGGAGGTACAGAATTGGCTCTTTAGAGTCTGTGCTCAGTGCTGACACGAAGCCAATACTGAACAGTTTCACGGATCGAGGGCAAGTTGTCAAGGTGCACTATACTTTGAAAACAAATTGAAGTTTGTCTTGACCGAACATATGCCGGGACGGGGCTATTCTCCCCGTTTAGACAAGCCAATGTAATAATACAGTAGTTAGAAAAAAGCTATTGTCGTCATGGCAACACGAGCGGCAGCGTTACCAAATCATTCTAACCACACAAGTCGTGGTGAGGTCAGGTTAGGTCGAATTAATGCAGACCAATACTTGAATAGGTTTAAAAACTAGTTTAAGATGATTTCTGGCTGTTAGTTGAACCTTCCACGAGCGAATGACTTAAGGTGAGATAGAATGACTCTTATACAGCCTACTTACTAAGTTGATAGTAGTCTCGCTATTTTTTATGGCATATACAAATGGGAACCTCAAAAAGACGTCCTGTCTTAAGCAAATTTATAGATCGCCAGCAACAGTCGAGAGTCCAAAATAATCTGTGATAATGAGCGTCTTATTTAGACGTTTTTGCTCATGCAGAATCCACTAAAGGGTCTTGGTGTTCGGTGAGGCCTTGTCTTTCACTTGGCATGACGCCAAAACGTCAAATCGCGCGAGTATTCACATCTTCTTTTTTAATGGTTCCGGCTCTCTCATTGGCTGGGATAAGGTAGGAATCGAACCAGGTTGCGGATAAGACCTGCAGTTCAGCTGTATGAAATTTTACGGAAAAGTAAGGCTTCTTTATATGATTTTAGGCAAATAAAACATCAGTTTTTCAGTATCTTCTGGTCATTTCAAGACCTACTCAATGTGAACAGCTCTCTTAGCTTTGATGCTCATGTTTCTCGGTCTTCTCTCTAGACTACAGATGACCTTGCGGCGGTACTGCAACGACCATTTCTACGGCCCCACATGCGGGGTCTACTGCGAAGAGGTCGACAAGGCTGGCATTGGCCACTTCATCTGCGACTCGGACGGCAACAAAGTCTGCCTGCCAGGTGAGGTGAATATGATCATGTCATGCTGTATTGACGCTTGGTTGGTGGCTCGGTTGGGGACAGGAGGGCGAAGCTGAGCCTCGACGTGTCCGAGGCCGCTTGAAGCCGCCCGAAAGGTCAGGGCTGGGCTGGAGTTCGAGTCAGGTGACGACGAGCGATGAAGCGTTTCACGGGCCGTTTGAGCCGAGAGTTCATCTCTCCTCGGCCGAGCCTCAAATGGACCCTACGCTCTTCCAATTTGGAGCTCAACTCGGAGGTCGTCTAATCACAGCCGAAAATGCGGCAGCAGCAACAATATCTTCATCGCCAAAGTCATTGTTTTCACTTTCGGGTTCATCCTCCGCCTCAGTATTATCACAAGCACGATCAAAAACATGATCAAAATCATAATCGTTTTCATTTTCAGTTTCAGTTTCCTTATCATTATCATTAACATTACATCCCATTACATTAAATAATAAATACAAAGCAAAACATCGCATTAACATTATCATCATCATCGTCATTTACATCCATTCACAATATCTTCAGTATCATCAGTATCATTATCACATTCAATATTATTATCAGCGGCATAAAGTTTGGTTTCGATGCATCGATTATTTCATAGTTGTTGAGCTTACTTCCATTTCGAGTGAAAGTATTTCGGGAAGGTACATCCCGCCAGAAGACTATGGCGGAATCCTCCTGACCAATTGTTGATTTGCTTTACTGAAGCATTCTTGTTGGTGTTGGTTTCGAGGTACTCTCCTTCACTCTCGATGAAAACATGCTAAGCCTTCGTCCGTCGTATGACGGACATCCTCAGAGCGCCATCATCTTCATCCTTACAACCACATTCAGGCAAACGAGTTAAAAAAACTTGTTTGCTTGAATGATACCCTACTCTGAGGATGTCTGCCATACGACGGACAAAAGCTTAGCATGCTTTCACCGGAATCGAAGGAGATCACCTCGAAAACCGTATCAACGAGAATGCTTCAGTAGAGCCGTTCAAAAACTGATCAAGAGGAATCCTCCGTCGAATCTTCGAATCTCTTCACCAAATACATTCACTCGAAATGAAATTATGCTCGGTAGACATTATCATCGTTAATAAGAGTTGTTGAACCCCTGTACGAGTCTTCGACTGAATAGACGAGCCTCATGATGAGAGAGGCTATGCGAACCAGATTGAATATGTTTGTTGTTGATATTACATTATTTAATATTCATATAAAGTAGATTTAGCGACTATCTATACCCAGAATCACATGGATTTCACGAAGTCCTTCCCTCCGAAAGTTATTCTCATCCACTTCGGACTGCAGTTTCCCCCTCGCCTGAGCTGGTCTCATCGACATCCCAAACACGAGACAAACACACGTTGTGGTGGTGCAGCGTAGATGCTCAACACATCATCACCTTGCCACACTTTTACTCATATGCATGTGGGAAAATTGAACTTTTACTTCCTTATCATCCAATGCAACCTGGAGTGACTGGAATTCGCAGTTAATATTATTTCAATCCTTAATGTAAACACGAAGATGATGTAGCCCTTGGCTTTTTTGTTATCTCCTTTCAAAAAAAATATTTGTTTTTCTCTCGTTTTCTCAACCTGGACGCTGTCTTAAGGAGACTTCTAAGAGCAAGAAAACGTGACAAAATTGTCAATGAACGCAGTACACGGCTCATGCTTCGAGGTCTCTTTGACATCCTAAAACCAATTTGCGAAAACGAGGTCAGATTAAATTAATGCAACAAGATTCGATGGCGACCAAAACAGAGTTTCATACTGTTTAATGATGTCTTACTGTGGCTTCCTTATGCTTTACCAAATACACATAAAAAGCAAGCAGGCGTAAATTTTAAGCTCATCTGAAGTCTTACCAAAGATGTAAGCTTTTTGATAGAATAACTTCGTTAGCACTCAAGTCTACGTGAAAGCAAAACTATTTTTTTAATTTTTAGTGAGAAAATTAATTTTTCATACCATAACAAAGCTATTGGTCATTT